TTACTAAATTACAGCATTTGAATCAAAATTATCTTAGAATAGCGTCAGCACATATACACGAAGGACGTGAATATTCCGTAGAGTAAAAACGCGTAAAATTTATTCGAAACGCCTATGAAATTAATCATCGAATCGTGCTAGCAATGCGACTATCAGGAGTAAGACTAGCCGGAATAATGAAATTTTGTGCGTTCATGGAATTGCCACGACCGATATTTCAGTCTTTTTATGACAAAATTGTGGATGTATTTCCGTTGCGACAGCCACAGTACGAGACGCTGGTATGAAGCATCGGAAGAAGAAAAGTGAAGAAAATACAACTTACAGGAATAACTGTTTCCGGTGACGGTTCGTGGAGAAAATGTGGGTTTCGTCGCTTTTCGGAGTAACGTCATTAATTGGATGGTTCACCGGCAAAATAGTCGACGTTGAAGTAAAGTCGAAGTACTGTAAGTCTTGTGAACATTGGAAAAGTAAGTTGGAAGGTACTGAATATGAAGAGTGGCTTAAAACTCACGCCGAAATTTGCCAAGCCAATCATGAGGATTCATCAGGAAAAATGAAAGTCGACGCTGTTGTCAAAATGTTCAAACGTTCTGAAACGTTACATGGTATTAAGTATGTAAATTATGTTGGAGATGCCAACAGTAAAACCTTTACGGGCATATTAGAGGAAAATCCATATAAAAATGTTGACGTTCAAAAAAAAAAGGGTGCATTGATCATGTGCAGAAGAGAATGGGCACTCGATTGAGAAATCCTAAAAAAAAGTGAAAGGTCTAGGAGGAAAAGGTAAAGTGACTGCCAAATTAATCGATCAACTATCAATTTATCTCGAACGAAATCTGGGCGACTTTATTTCATAAGATTTCCACCGACGAAAATCCGCAGTATAACAAGTGTTCCGAGACATGGTGTGATTGGAAAAAGGCGCAAGCAATGGGTTCATTAGACACCTTTCATCATAAATTGCCTGTATCGCAGGAAGTTTTTCAAGCTATTAAACCAATTTATGTGGAGCTTTACCCAAAACAGCAATGAGAGCTTTAATTCCACTGTTTGGAAATTAGCTCTAAAGTCATATTCAAGCGGTAAACTGGTGTTAATCATAGCGACTGATATTGCTGTGTGTAATTTTAACGACGGTATGACAAATTGTCTGAGAATTATGAGAGCGTTGGAGATTAGTATTGAACCAGAAGTCTACAATTTTTGCCTTGCAGCCGATGTAAAGCGGATAAAACTCGACGAGCGCTCGTTAACAGATGTAACGAGAGAGGCAAGCTCCAGTATTAAAGCAGCAAGAAAAGAAAATGACAATAAATTTGAGAACAGAGAAGGGCAGCTTTATGGTCCTGGTATAGCAGATTAATGGTAAAAAATTATATGCAGCAAATGTTTCATTTTTTCATAACCTTCATAACCAAAACACATGTCAAAACTTTACATGCGTTTTTCTCGAAACACGATTTTTTAAAACGGCACGCAGCATAAGTCGAACAATTTTCATTCAATTGATTTAAACTAGGGATTGCAATCCGGGAAATCGATTATTATTTCGGGATTTTCAAAGTCAACATATTTTCTTACATACAGTTAAAAGGTGCAATAAAAACTATAGCATTCCATTTGAAATAACGAAGTTATGGTCTACTTCCGGTAGACCGGAAGTGGCGGCTATCTTAAAAATATTTTAGATCGAAAGTTCCGAATGAACAACCCATGGTAGCAAAATTTCAAACCTTTACGAATAGTGGAACTTGAAAAAGTTCTAACGAACCAGTTACGTGAGACACCTGTATATTAAATATTTTTACTCTAGTAAAATGCGTTTTATTAAAAATAACGTAATGCTTGCATTAAAAACCTGTTGTCAGAAAATATATCACCCGCGCCCGTTCATATTATAAAATCGAGTGTGCCCGCGCGAATGTTAAAGGAACAACTCAACTAACTAAAAAACGGTGGACAGCACACGTAGAAAGTTAATTAAGTAGTTCACTTTTATAAATTATTAATTTTAATTAATTTATTAATTGTATGGATAATGATAACAATTAACAATTTGACAAGTAGTTGTTTATATCAATTAAGACCATGACAATGTCAAAAACTGATGTCGTCGCCAACATATCAACATGCAATTACCCAGGAATTAACGAATTTTAAGACCGGGTTTTCTCTAAATAGCAGGATTGAACAAAACGCTTAGTTTCCTCACTTGTACTGTAATATACTATATCACTAATGTTTACTGAGCATAGTTAAATTTTGCGTTGTCCGCTTAAACAGTAATTATCTTGGAAACGGAGAACTTTAGAGATAATTGGTAGATTTACCAAATTTATGTAAAGATGTCTGAGAAACTGTTTCAAGTTAGATTATGAAAAAGATATGACTACTTTAAGGAAGTTTTTTAGAGTAGGCAGCGCCATCTCAAAGATAGAATAAAACTAATACCAAATTATTATTTATCGCCTCAAAAATGATAATGTACCAATTTTCATGTTCATAATTAGACCGCATTATACATCACTTGACTAAGCGACATTTTATCGTTTTTAGAGATTTTTATTCTGTCTGGTAGGTAAAGATGTAACTTATCCTAGAAAAAATGCAGAATACCGAAAGACCTCAAATAACCGAACCGAAGATACCGAAGACCTCTAATTAGTTTCGGCCCTTGGCCATCTTCAGAGACTCCACAAACAGATTAACATCTCTCATTTTATCCATTTTACAAACGACAGCGGTAGGTAGCGCTAGTTAGCATAAGATATCACTATGTTGCATATTTTTATTGCACTAAAACTAGAACTAACACTAGATCTAGAACTAGAAAGTTTCGGATAAAAATAAACCCAAATATTTCTAGTTGTAGGTCTAATGTTAGTTATAGTTTTACACTAACACTATCAGAATTAACACTATTAGAATAACATTATTAGAACTAACACAAGATCTAGAACTAGAATCATTCAGGTTTAGCCGTCTTGAGAGGCGTGTGACTAAATCCGAATGTTTCTAGTTCTCGGTCTAGTGTTAGTTCTAGTGGTAGTGGTTGGTAGCGCTAGTTAGCATAAGATATTACTATGTTGTATATTTTTATTGAACTAAAACTAGAACGAGAAGTAGAAACGTAAAGTAGAAAAGTAGAAACGTAAGTAATTTTATTATTATACTCGTAATCTTCATAAAATAACCTTTAAAGTAAGTCCGAACTTGACGCATTTATCTCACAAATCCAAAAAGTTCGAACTTTCAACTTTAATTTTGACATATTTGTCAACTTCATAAAAAATCCTTTAAAATGAGTCCAAACTCCACATATTTAATTTTAATATTAATGGAAATACAATCACTTCCGGTTTGAAACGTCAACGTCAATTTTAACATATTTGTCATCTCCATTAAAAAACCTTTAAAATGAGTCCAAAGATGACGTAGAAAAAACAAAAAAGTTAGAATAAAAAACATTAAACCTTAAGTTAGCAACAATGAAAATAATTTAATTTTTAAATATTAATATCAACCTTAATTTTTTATTATGTTTTTGTTTTTGTGACAAATGTTAAGACATTTTATAAAAATTAACAAAATGTCAAAATGACATTGACATTTCAAACCGGAAGTTGCTTATATCTCGATTAATATTGGAATTAAACGTAGCACGTTTGGACTCATTTTAAAGGATTTTTCACGACGATTACAAATATGTCAAAATTGACGTTGACATTCTTAACCGGAAGTTGACCATAACTTCATTAATATTGAAGATAAATATGTCGTGTTTGTACTCATTTTAAAGGATTTTTAATGAAACTTACAAATATGTCAAAATTGAGGTTGACATTTTAAACTTGAAGTTAGTTATCATGTAATAGAAGTATTATAACTGAAGTTAATCTAGTGTTAGTCGTGTTTTCTGGGTCATTTCACATTTAATTTCATTTTACAACTTTTTAAACTTTAATTTTGTAAATTAGTAACCAATAAATGTGATTTCGACTTTGATATGTGATCTTTTTTAACAAACCAAAAAGAAATATTAAGAAACTTGTTTGTAAAATGGATAAGATGAGATATGTTAATCTATTTGTAGAGTTTCTGAAGATGGCCAAGGGCCGAAACTGGTTAGACTTAAATTCAATATAAAATAAAATCTGTATCTTCGTTATTGTTAAGAATTGGATTAAGATAAATTGGGTTAAATCGTAATAATTTAATGTAAGGACTCACTGTTGCTCTGTGTCCCAGTAGTAATGGAGTAATAGAATAATAAATTTACCTTTCGCTAATCATTTCGTTATTATCCGGCATTTGATTTTGACTTGATCCTTTAAACCCATCGGAGCTAACTTTTCTTGTTAATGGCACCTGTACGTTATCAGGTTGTTCGGAATTATCAGGAACAGTTTCCAAATTTATCTGATTATAAACGGGTGATTTATTTCTGAGGTATTTCGGGGACCTTCTTCCTTCTGGAATTCCTCCACTTTTAACAGAAACATTTCCTAAACGTTTAAAAGCACCTCCACTCATCGATAGACTTTGTGCTGGGATTGAAAAATTGGATGGGGGAGGAGGTGTGGTTTTAGTAGGGGGGGCTTCGTTAGTTTTTGTGGATGGAGGTGGAGTAATGTTTTTATTTTTATTTAAAACCATTCCTGGAGGTGAAGAGTTCCTTTGAGGTTCATTTAAACTGTCAAAAATAGGAGATTGACTTGGTAATACACCAGGAGATGGCGCTTTATTTTCCGACGAAATTATTTCAACATTTTCCCCACCAAAACCTTCTATTTCCGGCTTAGAACCATACTCTTCCTCTCCAATTTGCGCCAAACCATCCACACCGGCCACTTCTTGCCCTGAAATTGGAGACTGACTGATCGTCGAGCTTCTCGATAACATCTTGTCACTTTCGGAAGTTTGTAGAATATCATCAGACGATTCTTGAGACATTTGCGATTCAGTTGACCATTGCGGTGTTAAATGATCCAATTTTTTAATTTTTGTTACGTTTGGATTTACTTTTTCGTTATCTTCGTAATTCTTTTGATGCTTATCTGATAATTTCCCCATTTTTGGAAATAAATCTAAACTTGCTTGAGAAACGGAAGCGCTCGACTCATCGTTTTTAGACGTCGACGTTGAATCCTCAACATTCCAATTCCATGATTCCTCCGTGTTAAACGAATCGCTTATCATAGCTGCTTGATTGGAGTTATCACTTGGAGGCGGAATTTGTTGGACATTTGAGTTATCCTCATCTCCCCAACCCCAATTATTACCCCAAGTATCCGTTGTTTGTTGTGAATTTTGGATATTTTGAGTACTTTGCACGTTATTATATGGATTATTTTGTACTTCGTTATTCGCGTACTGAGCGTATTGTTGGTTATATTGATCGTTTAAGGATTGTTGTTGTTGAATTGGGTTTTGATAATAATTGTAGCTTTGTTGGTGGTATTGTGGTTGTTGAAGCTGGTATTGCTGAGGTCCTGAATAATGATCGTGTTGTTGTTGCTGTTGTTGCCAATAATTTTGTTGTTGTTCGGGTTGTTGAGGAGAATTCTGTTGATTAAAACCATATGGTTTTTGTGTTTGTTGTTGCTGTTGATTTGGGTACCAATTATTGGGGGGTGCTGATGTTACATCTTGCGTCATTGACCATTGATTCTAAAAATTCAAAAAATAAAAAAGTTAATTAAAATTAAACCGCTTTTTACCCAAATATTATAAGATCGTTTATAAATAATAAAACAAAATATGTTAAGGTTATGAATTCTCTTCATTACAAAAACAAACTGGGCGTATTAAAAAAATAACACAATAAACTTACACCACACCATGAATTAACCAAACATTTTTTATTATTCGTAATTTGTAATAATTAGTATTAATCTTACCTCTTGGTTTGAATGTTGATTTGGGTTATAAAGTGGAACGTGAGATCCGGGGACGGTATTCGGGTTGACATGACTTCTGCGCTTCATCCAAGACATTTTTTAACTTAAAAATGATAACATACCACTAAAAACACGACTCAAATTATAAAAAATGTTTATATTTTTATAAAAATACCGTCAAAACCAAAATTATTCCAAACAATATGTCAAAGTGACTTTTCTAACCTCACTTTTAGAACTGTCAAAAAAATATTTAATCGATTTCTACATACATACATAACCAATTAATAACATTATCACAATTTGATTTATGCGTATAAAATTTGAGTAAATTAAATTCCATACGAAGAATCTAAATTAACTTTTATCAATAATGTTTGATTATTAAATTTGTAAATTGTTGCGTTCACAAAAGCAACAAATGTCACGTCATTGTAGCAAATTTCTTTTTGATTTTTATTGCAAAAATAACTTACCTAGTAATTATCATGTAATCAACGGATTATAAAACATAGATTTTCGGCGATAAATCCATAATTAAATTTCAAGTTAACGAAAAACAGATTGAAACGTTTAAGCCGAAGAATTTTCACAAGCACAAACGGAACGGAAAATAAACTTGGTTTTTAATTCTAAAGAGACATTTAAAGGACCGAAATTTCACGTTAACCATATAAAAAAATCCGGGGTCTAAAGAATGTAGTTTTCTCACTTTAACGTTTATAGGAAAGCCCCGTTATCGAAGTGAAAGCATATCGTAGATTTACTATTTCTATCCCTTTTTAACTTGTCAATATCCACATTTGCTTCTCTTTCTATCAACTGACGTATCTATTAGAATGGATACGTGGCAGTACGAGAGAGAGTTGTTATCAAGATTTTTGTTTATTCAAATTTATTTATTCATTAAATTAATTTATTTTGAATTTAAATCGGTTGATTTAAGTAATAATTATTTTTTATTTGAAATTTATGTTTTAAATTAAAATAAAGTTCAAGGTTATTGTGTTAAATGGGTTGCATAAACATTAGAAATAAATTTTAATTTAAATTAAAAACTTTTTTCTTGAAGCTTTTTAGAGAAGTACCGTATTAGCTTGACGAAACGATGCTTTAAATCGTTGAAGTAAAATCAAACCAATTTATTTTATTTGATGGATTTCAAAATACTTTTTAAATACACTCAGTGGCATAACAAACGCATCACCTAAAATGATCAGTTTCAAACTGCAATAACTTTTGAACGTATTGGTCGATTTAAATAACGTTTTTTTTATTTGAACGGTCTACCCTTTACCAATATTTCTGTAGCTGCCTTCTCCATTTTCATTCATCTATGGCTCTACAACCCGTATAGAGCCTTGGCCTCCCCCAGCCTCTGCCTACATTCATCCCTGTTCCTGCCCCCCCTGGCACAGTGGGGCGAAACGCTATTTTGCTGGCCAAAACCTATTTTATCAAACATTTTCAAATCACGGGGGAAATGATAATTATAGGTACTAAAAAGAATGACAATTTTAGTACACAGGTCAAATTAAACGAAAAAAAAGTTAAAAGTATGGAAAAAACGCTGTTAAAATCGAGGGAGTTACCTTGCCAACCAGAAAGAAAATATCCACAACTTTTTTGAATATAGAATATGCGGATATGAAAAGTATAATTGATCAGCAACTGAAACGGGCTAAAATTCTTCATTTGCAATGTGATGGATAGAGTAATTTATGAAATGAGGGCATAGTAAATTTTGTGATATCAAAACCCGAACCGGTGTTTGTGGATTTTATTTCTACAGGGTCTAGCAAACACACAGCAAAATATCTTAAGAGTGAAATAAAGTAGATTGTTGATAAATCGCAAAGTTCCTTGTGGTAATCGGAGACAATGCTGTTAATATGAAAGAGGCATTTAGGCTTTCACAAGACGACTATCCTCATATCGTACCACTGAGTTGAATGGCTCATACCCCTCATCTTCTGTGCAACAATATCTTAAATTTTCCACCTATACAGAGGTTAATAACAGACGCTACACACATAGTTAATGCAATAAAACGATCCCAAATCTTATATATATTTACCATTTATTGCCACAAATAAGAATACAAAATTACATAAGATACACAAGAAGAAAAAACAATGAAAAAAAAAGAATAAGAACAAAAATAGATAGATAGATAGATAGATTGATAGATAGATAGATAGATAGCCATTTATTGTACCGGTGTGAAGACAGCAGTAAAAGATAGCAGTAAAAATTTCCGATGATACCCGAACGCCCATAGACGTCCGTAATACCGGACACACGGGGGCTCAATTTTTTCGAACAAAAAAACATTACATTATCAACTTAAGAAGTTAATTACAGTATATTAAAAGTAATTAATATATTTATCACTAATATCNAATCAAAAATTTAACAAATTAAAATTTCATCTTCGCTCCTTTTTTGTTTTGGTGACTTTTTCGGTGTTAACCGTGGCATTCCCATAATGGGACTGAGTTCGTATATTCTTGATATTAGTCTGTGTAAAGCCATACTTCCCTGTATATCTCCTTCATTCTCTTCCATTCTTGTCGGTCCCAAGCTACCCTGTGCCATGTTACTCCTCACAACTCTTCTTAAACTCATCTTCCCAGCTGGCAGTTGGTCTTCCTTTTCTTCTCTTTTTGTCTATTGGGTACCATTCTAAGATTTTCTTAGAAAAAAGAAGAAGATTTTCTTCGATATTTGACTTTTCCCTTATCAATGCCCTTGCTGTTACCCTAATCCTTTTAATTGTTTTGTTTGTTAATATCCATGTCTAGCATCCATAAATCATGACAGGGAGGACACACATTTCCCACAATTTTTTCTTTTTCTCTATTTCTATGTTTGATTTCCATATCTTTTTGTATTTGTTAAACATTTGCCATCCCATTGCCATTCTTCGTGCTATTTCTTCTCCTGTGTTTTTAGTTGTAATCTTTTGTCCTAGATATACGAAATGCTCTACTTTGTCGATTTCCTTTCCATTAACAATTATTTTATTTTTTTGTTCACAATTTATGTCCATTGCTTTTGTCTTGCTCATATTTATCTCCAGACCAGTTTGCTTCCCTCTTCTCGATATTGTTTCCAGCATTTTCCTTACTTCCGTTTCGTTTTTTCCTATAAGTACTATGTCATCTGCAAACTTTAGCCTGTTCAACCATTGCCCATTTATTCTTATTCCCAGGTCTTTCCATTCTTCTTCTACAAACATTGTTTCCAATACTGCATTGAATAGCTTTGCAGAAGTCACATCACCTTGCTTCAGTCCATTTCCTAGAGTTATCGTCCTTTTATTATTGTTCATTTCGATGTTTAGTTTTGAGTTTTTGTATATATAGTTTAATATACGAATATACTGATCTTCCATACCAGACGTTTGTATGACCTGTAAGATTGTTTCTGTTCTTACATTGTACAAACGCTTTCTCAAAGTCTACAAATAATAAGAGCATTGGGAAGTCATAATCATTCAATTTTTTTATCAGTTGCTGCGCGACTAAAATATTATCTAACGTGGAAAACTTCTTCTTGAATCCTGTGTGGTCTTCGGAGAACGGTAGGTGTTGCTCTATTCTCCTTGTGATTATGGACATAAATATTTTATACATCACCGGGAGTAAACTTATTGGTCCGTAATTGTTGATATGTTCCCTATCGCCTTTTTTGTATATTAAGGCAAGTTTAGCTACGAGCCAGCTTTTTGTTTCAAACAGTTATTACAAATTTCCTTCAATATTTTCACTATATGGTTTCCTCCTGCCTTTATTTCTTCATTTCTTATCTGATCTATACCTCCAATTTTTCCTTCCTTCAGCTTTGATATTACATCACTTACTTCTTCTGTCATTATTTCGTATTGTATCTGTTCATTCGCTCTCTCTTCAGCCTCCATTATGTCTGCCCCCGCATTCGCATATAATGTTTAATATTTCTGCATCTTCCCCTTTGCTCATACCGTTTTTATCTTTCATTACTATTATTTTGTTTTGTCCCAGTGATTGTTGTCTCACACTTTTTCTTATACTTCCTCCCGTAGTAATTGCATCTTCTAATTCTATTATTTTTTTGTTATATGACCATTCTTTCCATTTTTTCCTTATTAATTTTGATATTTCTGTGTACTCAATCTTTTCTCTTCCTGATCTCTTTATTGTTTTTAGTTTACGTATATCGTATGGTAAATTTGACCTGTTTTTCTTTTTTTGTATCTGTTTGAATATCTTTTGTAACCTTTGTTATTGCCTTAGTTATTATATGTTTTTGGTTTTCTATGTTAGGGTTAGCTTGAATTTTCTCCAAACTTAATTCGCATTTTATTCGGTCTTCAAAGTTTTCTCTTTTCAATTCATCAGTAGATTTGTAACTTATCATTTTCTTTACGCACGGTATCTGTCGTTTCTTGCTTATCTGTACTGTCATCTTTATCGCTCTGTGATCACTACCGATATCTATTTTCTGTTTAATTTCTACGTTTTGTATGATTTCTCTCTTGTCTACTATGAAAAAATCAATTTCGTTCCTTGTTTGTCCATCCGGGCTAATCCACGTCCATTTCTTGTCATTAGCTTTATTATAAAATGTATTTATTATGTAAAATTTATTTCCCTCTACAAATTCCACCAACTTTTCTCCACTTTCATTTCTATTTCCAATGCCGAAATTACTAATACATGATTCGCCTTTTTTTTACCAACCTTTGCATTAAAGTCTCCCATGACCATGGTATATTTACATTTATCATCATCAATTGCCATCTGTAGGTTCTCATAAAACTCGTCTCTTTCTTCCTCATTTGCGGTAGAGATTGGAGCATATACTTGTATGATTTGTATTCTCCCGGCTTTTTTATTTTCGAGGTTTAATATAATCTTCGCAATTCTGTGTGAATATGTTTTAAAGGAGGTAATGTTATCTATACATCTTTTATTTATTAAAAATCCGGTTCCACCTGTCTTTCCTAATTCGTTATAGTAAAATATTGTTTCCTTTACATTTATACACCGCTCTCCTTTTCTTCTGACCTCACTCAATCATATTATATGCCAATTTGTGTTTTTTAGTTCTTCCAGCAATTCCTCTAATTTCTCATCTTCTCTCAAAGTTCTACAGTTATAGGTCAGTATTTCAAATATTTTTTTATTATGATGTCTATTTATCTTTTGCATCTTTTATTCTGTGTGTTTAGCCAGGTTGCAGGGTAGTATGTTTCCATTTTCGATTTTCTTATTTTTGCCATGGTCGTTATATTTGAGTGTATAACGCTGTCTCTGCTCTTGTGTTTTGCTTGTTTAAGTCCCCTGCAGTGAACGAGTGCGAGTTTTGTCTCATAAAGTAACTATCAATTTGCTTCTGGAGGTTAGGTGTGTATATTCCTCTACTCTCTGAGAGAAGAACAAAAATATATACATAAAATCCATTGTCAATTGTTAGTCGAGCAATGGATAAACTTAAACTTAAATAGTATAAGCAGTATGAGCAGTATCAGCAAATGGACCATTTTATCGTACAAGCGATCTTTGCCAAATGAACCAAACAGAACAAACAAAAATAGTATTTACTGAATATGGCAAGTAGTGATAATTAGATATTATTAACATTTATCACCAAATAAGATTAAGCAAGAAAAAAAAAAGAAAAGACACGAAAAGAGAGAGAGAGCGGCTAAAAGAGACCAAAAGAATCTGCCGGATATCAGTTGCCAACAAGTAAGAGCAGTTGAAG